TAATGACAAAGGGATCTATCCAGCAAGAGGATATAACAATCATAAATATGTACACACCCAACATCAGAGCACCTGAATACATAAATCAAGCACCATTATACCTAAAAAGAGAGATAGACCCCCTATAATAATGGTTGGTGAACCCAACACCCACCTCTCAATATTGGATAGATCATCTAGACAACAAATAAATAGAAAAATGCAGAATTTAACTACTCTTTAGACTGACTGGACTTAGCAGACATCTACAGAACATTTCATACAACAACAGCAGAATATACATTCTTCTCATCAACAAGTGAAACATTCTCCAGGATAGATCACATGTTGAGTCACAAATCAACTTTCAAAAAATTTTTAAAAATTGAAATCATTTCAGGTATCTTTTCATACCACAATGAATTAAAACTACAAATCAATAACAAGCAAAGCATCAGAAACTATACAAATACATGGAAATTAAACAACATGTTCCTGAATGAACTATGTGTCAAAGAAGAAATTAAACAGGAAATCAAAAATTTTCTTAAAACTAATGAAAATAAAGATACATCATACCAAAGCCTATGGGATACTGCAAAAGCAGTACTAAGAGGGAAGTTTATTGCAGTAAATGCTTAAAGTAAAGAATAGAAAGACTTCAAATAAACAAGCTAACATTATACCAAAAAGAACAAAAAAAAAAAACAAGAACAATCCAACACCAAAATTAGTAGACAGGAAGGAATGATTAAGATCAGAGAATAACTAAATGAAATACAAACCAAAAATGATGACAAAAAAGATCAATAAAACAAAAAGTTGGTTTTTAGAGAAGATAGACAAAATCAATAAACAATAAACTTGACCAACTAAAGAAGACAGAATACCTAAATAGCAAAGATCAAAAATGAAAAAAGAGGCCAACCCGGTGGCGCACTGCTATAGTGCGCCGCTTGGGAAGCACGGCGGCGCTCCCGCCGAGGGTTCGGATCCCACATACAGACCGGTTCCCGCTCACTGGCTGAGCAAGGCGCGGGAGCAACACCAAGGGCTGCGATCCCGTTGCCGGTCCCGGTCTGGTACAGGGGTGACACTGAGGGTTGCGATCCATTGCCGGACACGGAAAAAGACAAAAAAAAAAAAAAAAAAAAAA